CTATAAATATATAAAGAAACAAAAATTAAAAATAATATAAAGCATAATAAATATTAAAAGTCAGTGATTAAAATACAGTTTAATTTTTAATCTAGCTATAGACAGTTTATGAGTTACACTCAAACAGAAGAATTATATGCAAAGATATATTATTCCAAAAAAGAGATTTTTTTAACTCTTAGAGAAACTGCTTATTGACTGAAACATTTTTAAAATAATAAAATGAATTTTTAAAACCCTGCGAACTTTGTGTACCTAATAATACAGACTGATACTATACTCCCATAAAACTGACAGAATTAGAAAAAGAAATTAACAAACCCACAAACACGTGGTGGAAAACCATAGTAAATGATTTTTTTACTAAAAATTCCCTCCCTCAAAAGCTGATAAAGGGGTTTCCCTGATGGTCCAGTGGTTGACTCTTGCCTTCCCATACGGGAGCATAGGTTCAAGCCCTGGTGGGGGAAGTAATGTCCCACATGCCTTGAGGCGAGGCCAAAAATTAAAAAAACAAGGCAACTGGTAGGAAATCAAGAATTTAGAATATTTAAAACCTTACATAGAAAGGAAAGAAAGAAAGAAACCTGTGACCCCAAGCAGAGATTGAATATTCTCTTCAAGCACTAGTGGGACATTCATTTGCAGTAAGGAAGTCTGAAGTGATTTCGTAGAACTGACATTTTAAATTAATTCACACTGGTGGTAGAAAATGCAGGAAAGGTAGACAGTTTAAAGCACAAGGCAAAAGTTATCTATAGTCTCACTTTGAGTTCAACTCTTTTACTATTTGGCATATTTCTTTTCAATCTTTTTCGAAATGTTTTCATACATGCCTTTTCTTTTTTCTTCTTTTTTTGGTAATAGTGATATTTACTGTGTATGCCTTTTATATCGTTTTGTTCGCAACTAATGATGCCGTAATTTGCCGCTCTGGGACCTACCAGTCTCCCCAAAGTTTATTTTCATCACAAAATCAGGCTAATGGAAAGAATAGTCACTTTTTGTGATAAATTTGTGGTTCTTAGAAAAAGGGACTATTCACAGTGATGTGTCCATCTCTAGGTAAATCAGCGAACCGGGCTACAGAACACTTTGGTGGACCGACGGAGAAGGAAGGTTTTAGAATCTGCAAATACAGATTCTCACGACCCCAAAGGACCTACTTACCAGCCCTCCTCCCCAGTTCAGAGCCAGCAGCAGCCCGGGGCGGAGGAAACCAAGCGGTTCAGCCCTGGCTGACGCCTGGGCGGACCGACACGCAGGTCACACGCAGGGGTGTGTGGGGGCGGGCGGGGTGCCAGGTGGGGGCGGAGGAAGACGCCGAAGCAGAAATGGGGCTGGGAGGATGGAGATCTGATAGAATAAGCCAGCCTCCGTACGGGGCATCCTCAAAGCCAGCATCCATACCGGGCATCCTCAAAGCCAGCATCCATACCGGGCATCTTTCCTCCATTCTGGAAAGACAGGTGGAGTCGTTCTCTGCCCCGCCTCCCCTCACCACACCCCCATCGGTAAATGCAGTCATACCTGTCGGTGCTCTGTGGCCTGAACCTGTCCACGAAAGGGGCCGTTTAAACCTGCAGCTGAGCTCGGGGTGGACCAGCCCGCGACCGACAGGCATGGCAGTGCAGAGGGGGTGGCTGGGAGGAAGCCAGGTCCGTCTCGACCTGCATTTCTCTACTTACGGCAAAGGATTACAGGGCGTCGGGTGACCCCCGGGGGGACTAAAGGCCGCCTCCCCCAAGCTCCAAAACCTGCAGAGCCTGCCACGCGGGAGCCACGGCCTCTGAGGGGCCGGTGGGGGCGGGGTGCTTGAGAATGGCTTGCTCTGGCTTCCAGCGGGTAATTCCTGTAAGTTCTGCTACATTCTTGGCACAAAATAGAGCTTGATACACCAACTTTGGGGCTTCCCAAGTGGCCCGAGTGGTAAAGAACATGCCCGCAAAGCGGGAGACTTGCTCTCTGTCTCTAAGTAGGGAAGATCCCCTGGAGGAAGCCATGGCAACCCACTCCAGTATTCTTGCCTGGAAAATCCCATGGACAGAGGAGCCTGGTGGGCTACAGTCCACAGGGTCGCAAAGAGTCAGACACGACTGAAGTGACTTAGCATGCACGCACACTATTACCATGGTTTTCCCTTATGCTACAGCTTTGAGGCCCAGGTTTTGGTTTTAAACAGTTCTAGGTTTAAAACCATGCCCAAATCCCAATGATTAGCTATTTGGCTGCTTCGGAATGGGTTTACCACTACAAAACCTACTTCCTCAACTAGGAAATGGAATTAATACTATCTACGTTATGGGATTAAATTAGCTAACAGATGGAAAGCATTTAACCCAGTAGCACAGAGTCCATAGTTAAACTGTAGCAGTTAGAACTACTGTTTAACATGTATTTCCTAGTCTGGCCTGTTTTTCCTCCTCTTGGCTCATACTGAACTCTTTTTCCCTCTCTCTCTCCATGTATTTATTTTTTAGAAGAAGTATGTCTTTAGAAACCACTTGGAAATCTATTCCTATCTGCCTTTTTTTTTAAATCATCTCTGTTCTTTTTATCCCAGTGTGGTGAATCCATTCATAACTTCTAATAATGAGAACAGACATTTAAATAAATGTAGCCAATCATGAAGTTACTAGCCCATACGTTCGTCCTTCGCTAGAAGTCATTATAAGCGCAAAGAAGGAAAAGAACAAGAGTAGATCAAGAAAGGCTTTGTAGAAGAAGCAACACTTCAACCTCATCTTGAAATATAAAAGTTTGGAATCAGATAGTCCTGGGATTGAACCCCTGTTCTGGCACTAATTAGCTGTGGGTGAGTTAACTAATCTGGCCAAGTATCAATCTCCTCATGTATTGAACAAAGATAATAACACCCACCTCAAGGGGAGTGGGATTAAATGAGTTCATAAATGTGGAAATCCAAGGAATTGGTGATAGTAAGTTATCGATACATGCTTATTCTCTTTCCTTCCCCTCATTACCTGTCGAATCCTCTCCATTACCTTCTTACTAACTCTTTCTTCCATTCTCCCTCCCTCTCCATCTTTAGTTCAGCTGGGTGTCACCTGGAAACATAATAAGCCTTCTAAGAAGTTACAAAGAAAAGTATGAAGCCACTTGAGTTGTAGGTTGACCCCGTCCTCATGAAGATCTTGATCCATGGGCAATTTCTATGGTTACATCTGGCCAAATTGTCTATAGTATGCTTTAAAGCATATTTTCCCAGCTTTCTGAGAAAAGTGCAATGCAGGGTTGAAAGATTTAGATCTCAACTAAAGACTGAGATGAAGTATCATCTACAACATCTTCTCAACCTACCAACCCTAAAGTCTCCGGCACTTCTAATGAAGTTAGTGTATGACATATGCTCTTTAACAGTTTGATTCAGAACCATTTCTTCTTTTTAATGTTTACTTTTTGTCAGCACCATGTGGCATATGGGATCTTAGTTCCCCCAACTGAATGATTGAACCCATACCCTCTGCATTGGACATGAGGAGTCTTAACAACTGGACCACCAGGGAAGTCCCCTGTGACCATTCTTTGCCAAAGTTTCCCTGAATTGACAAATCCCAATTTCCCAGGAGAGTTTTTGTTTTCAGTGATGAAGATTTCACTTCTTAATGTAAACTTCCATACAAAGAAGGCACAAGGAAAAGGAAGAGGAATTGTATTTGCTTCTCTAGAGCAGAATAGACTGTGTAGAAGGGGTATTACTGGCATCCCGTGATGGAGTTGACCTGGGGACTGTGTCACTTTCTCTGACTCGGATTTCAAAGCCTGACCTACTCTCCCTCTAGGAATGGAGTCCATCCTGGTTTCAGCTACAGTAGGTATACCATCTACTCATCCCCAGCCAGGTCCAGCCTGACCTTGTCTTCTTCCTGCCTTCCTCCCACCAGGCAGCTTGCCTGGAGGCTGAGTCTTTTTAAAGCATCACCAGATAACATTCATTCCTGCCCCCAACCCACCCCCATCACACAGTAAGCCAGGCGCCAGGGACCACAACACAGTCCTTGCCTTCGAAGTGTTTACAATACGGGAGCCAAGAAGGTACTTAGGGTAGAAAAGCAAGTGAAGCTAAGTATCACCAAAAGGCAACATGTGAATTTCTTCAGGAGCAGAGGAAAAGGAAATTCACAAGGAGCTGAGCTGGTGAAAATGGCTTCCTGATAAAAAGCCACTGTGCTGAACTGGTGGTTCAGTAAAGACTCCACATTCCCAGTGCAGAGGGACTGGGTTCCGTGGTGGTCCGGGCACTAGATCCCACATGCCACAGCTAAGACCCGGAGCAGCCAGATAAATACCTTTTCAAAAAAAGAAAGAGAAATCCACTGTGCCTTCTCCATTGTGTGTGTGTTGGGGGGTGGGGGGAGCGGGTGGATGGAAGGGCTGACACCTGTTCAGAAAGCCCTTAGGAATTGAACTTCCCAGGCAGGCAACCAGGCTGCCTGGCAGCGCCTAGGGAGTGCCCTGGGCAAATTACTTAACCTCTGGATGCCTCCATCTCCTCCTCCCTAAAATGGGCACAATAACAATATCCTCTCCTCCCTCAGAGACTGAATTGAAGATAAAATGAGTTAAGATCTGTGGAGCAGAGGGTACACCGTGCTTAGAAAATACTAATCAGAGTTAAGGACAAGAGTTATTTGAGCCACAGTGTTCTGGCGCAGGAGACATGTACAAGTGAGTGGGCATCGTCCTGGAGTCTGTGTAATTAATGCTGCCGGGGAGGAGCGTGTGTGCTCAAGACACCGTCTGGGCTGCCTTACATAATGTCAGCTTTAGGCAAAGTGCCTGTCATTGGCGCAGCTCCGAAAATACACATACACACGAGCATGCCCGCGAGGCGGGGCCGCAGGGGGTGCGGGCTGCGTGGCCCACGCCGCCGGTCCGCTCGGGCCCCCGGGTGCGAGACCGGGTCCCTGCGTGTCGCCGACACACGCGCACACCGACACCAGCCCCGCTTCGACGTGCGTGTAATGGCTTAAAAATAGATGCTAATCCGTCAACCGGTCTGCCAAGCCAGACCGAGGCGGCGGCGGAGTCATGGCCGTGGGGCTGCCTGCGCCTGCGATCCGCCTCCGGGACTGAGACCCGCGCCGCCTCCCGAGGTAGCGGGGCCGCGGCGGGTGGGCGAGGCGCCGGGGGTCGGAGCTGGGGGGCTGGGGCGGGGGATCGGGGCGGGGGGGGGGCGGTTAAAAGGGGCCCGGGAGCCCGCCGGCGGGGCCCTCCCGGGGCTCCCTCCCTCCACGCCTGGCTGTCTGGGTTGGCGAGGACTGGGCGACAGCCATGAACCTGTTACAACCACAGCAGAGGGAGGGAGGATGGGAGGGGGGCCGCGGCCCGGGGCCCCCAAAAGCTGGCGGATGGGGCTGGAGCGTGTCCAGGGACGGAATGGGGAGAAAGCGAGTGCCACGGAGCTCCCGCTACACCTGGGCTGCTTCCCGCTTTCTTTCCACCATCAGCATCACACAGGCAGCAGCATTCTGTTCCCAGAAAATGTTGTTTGGGAGCCAAGTGGTGAGGTCTTCAGGCCTGCGGAGCAAAAGTAGATGATGATAATGGAGATGCTGATGATGAAGATGTCGATCCCGGTGGGGATGACAGTGATGGTGGTGGGGATGATGGTCAGGATGGTGACAGTGGTGATGGAGGTGGCCGTGATTGCTACCCTGTTCTCTTTCTACACTCCTTCTGATCAGCCATTTGAGGGGGGGGGGGGGGATCTCTCTTCCTAAATAATCCCTCAACACTCTTAAGATCCAGCCTCCCTTCACCAGTCCTGATCCTAAGACCCCTACTTCTTATGCCTTCTGAGTGCTGGAGCTCTCCTGGCCCTGGGGGGACCGGGATTGGGGAGAACTGGGCCCCTGTTGAGACTGGCGGGGGGGGGGGGGGGGGGCGGGGAGGGACAGGACGAAGATGGCCTCTCACTGGGGACCGTGCCTTGAGCGCCTGGGGCAGAAGACAGGACGAGGCGTGGGAGGGGGATTCTTCAGGGCCGCCCACTTTTCCGAGGGCCAGAATCACCTTGCAGAGAAGGAAGAGGAGGAGGAGGGGTAGGAAGAGGAGATAAGAGGCGCTGGAGTGGGGGACTGTTGCTTCGATCCCCCACTGCCTGCAGCTCCCAGGGCGAGTCTCAAAGGCTGGCGCTTCCCAGCTCCACAGCTCAACGCGTGGTCCCTGCTCTTCACAGGGAGTCAGGCCCCTCATTGAGGACCCCCGTGTGCTAAATAGAGTCACTTGATTTCACCAGCAACACAGGCGCTCATTCCACACTCTGAGCCCCTAGGCCAGGCAGGAGCCCCCATTTCTTCACTTTCTTCCCTCCTCCAGCCCCCAGCCTCTGCCCCTCCACACCCACCCACCCACACACACACACCCACACACACACACACACACACACACACAGAGTACTCCAGCCCTGCCTGGACCCAGAGAGATGAGGTTTAATCAGTGACATCTGTTACTTTGACCAAGGGAGGCTGCTTTGCCTGTGCTGCCCAGATAACTGGCGCTTCCTTCCATTAACCCGGGTCTTCAGCGAGTGTTTTTCAAAAACTTCAGCTTCCTCTTTACTACTCTCCCCTACGCGCCCCATCACCCCCCCCCCACCCCTCTGGACTTCCCAGAGCAGGGCAGGAAGGGGTTAAAGCGGCCCATCTCCCCCCCATCCACCACCACCACCCCACCCCCCAGGCCGGCGGGGCTGTGTCACTGGCCCCAACTGCTGCTGGCTTCAGGCCAACTCCTTCTGGATGGATCCAGAACCTCCCCCCAAGCCCCCCTCCCAGCTCCCCAGCCTGTCTGCCAGCAGCCCCAGGCAGATGAGACCCAGACGCGGGCTGGCAGGGCTTCCAGCACTGGGCCCTGCCACCCAGATGCCAAATGTGTGTGCGTGCGTGTGCGTGTGTGTGTTGACTCTGTGTGTGCGGAGTGGGGGTGGGGTGGCGGAGCAGACGCCCAGAAGCTGGGCCGCTGCCTCGGCCCGTAAACAAGAACATGTGATGCTCCCACCTCCTTGGCTGGCGGAGCCAAAGAGCAAGGCGACAGGAGCTGCTGCCGCTCAAAGGAGACGACCGTCCAGAGCGCCCGCCCCTCCCAGGGCCAGACTTCACCGTCCTTCTCCAGAAGCTTCTCCCCGGGGGCGGGAAGGGACCCCGCCGCCCCGGACGCGCTCAGGCGGCACTCACACCCCCGCCTCTGCCGGCAGCTGCCACCTGGACACCCGCCCCGCCTCACCTCGCGCACCCCGGCGGCTGCCAGGCCTCCTGCCGCCTCTAAGATGTGTCCCGGCAACTGGCTCTGGGCTTCGGTGACATTCATGGCCCGCTTCTCCCGGAGCGGCTCGAGGTCTCCCGTCCGCGTGAGAGGCGCCCTGGAGGAGCCGCCCGCCGTCCAGCACCCCTTCCTCAACGTCTTCGAGTTGGAGAGGCTGCTCTACACGGGCAAGACCGCCTGTAACCACGCCGACGAGGTCTGGCCGGGCCTCTACCTCGGAGACCAGTACGTACCCGGCTGACTGGGGCCACGGCTGCGTGTGTACGGGGCTGTGTGTGTGTGTGTGCAAGAAGAAAGAAGGGTGGCAGAGAGGCGTGGAGTTGTGCTGTTGGTCCCACATTGAGGATGGAAGGGAGGGGGTACATGGGTGGAGCGGAGTCTGGAGGGCTGGGGAGGGCGGACAGGATTACCTATGTGCTAAGTCACTTCAGTCGAGTTGGACTCTTCGCGACCCCATGGACTGTAGCCGATTCTCCGGGCAAGAATGCTGGAGTGGGTTGCCTGGCCCTCTTCTAGGGGATCTTCCAGGCCCAGGGATCGAACCAGTGTCTCTTAGGTTGGACAGGATTACTGATAGACCCAATTCTGGACAGACAGGCTCTGTTCGCGTAATCATGTCATTCATTTAGCACAATGCATTAGCATTTTCATATGCCAGTGCTGTGGGCTGGACGTCATAGATGACTTATCTGACCATCCATCTTTGTGCCCTGAGAAAAAGCTATCACTGGGGCCAGGAACAGTGGCTGGCAAGGCGAGTGGTGCCCCAGGTGACATTAATGGTAAAGAACCTGCCTGGCAATGCAGAAGATGTAAGAGACCTGGGTTCGATCCCTGGGTCGGGAAGATGCCCTGGAGGAGGGCATGGCAGCCCACTTCAGTATTCTTGCCTGGAGAAGCTGGAGAAGCCCATGGACAGAGGCGCCCGGTGGGTTACAGTCCATAGGGTCATAAAGAGTCGTATTGAAGCGATTTAGCACATATAACAAAAAGGGGGGGGGGGTGGACCAAGCCAAGCCACAGAGTATGCAGAGGCTCTGCCAGATGGGGGCGACAGAGAGACGGGAGTCAAAGAGAAAGGAGGCCCTAGAGGTCTTTTCCGAGAGCTTTAGAGCCTACGAGGAGTTTTTCACAGGCTTTTTCTCTGTTAATCTTCATGATAGCCTGGTGAGGTAGGTACCACTATCCCCAGGTTACACAGGAGGAATTGGAAGCTCAGAGAACCTGGGACTGGCCCAAGGTCCCACAGGTCGTAAGAAGCAGAGCCCAGGACTTAGAGGTTCAAGTTCAGGGTGCTTTCTGCTCCAGGAGCTGGCACTAGACAGGACATTCGATATGACCCTGTTGGCATGAGCTGAGGGCTGTGAACCACGGAAACCCTGCAGGTGACATCCGCAGGGTAACCATGGGCTTGGAGTAACTGGCAAAACACAAGAAGATTCTGGGCATCAGACAAGAGTCTAAACGGGAAAGGAGCTTCCCTGGCTGTCCAGTGCTTAGGACTCCCTGCTTCCACTTCAGTGTGCACAGGTTCGATCCCTAGTCGAGGAACTAAGATCCTGCAGGCCACATGGACAGCCAGAAAAAAAAAATAGTTTTATAAAAATCAAGTAATGGAGGAGTGGTGAGAACCAAAGCAATTCAAGGTTACCAGGTTAAACGTGAGCTGCTCCAACAAGCCATCCAGTGTCCAGATCCTCCCTGCCACGTCCAGACCCATCCACTGACCTCCTCTCTCTACCTGAATGCCCTGGTGTGAAGAAAACCTGTCTCTCCCGAGATGCCCCAATCTTTCTCCAGCTAGATGCCACTGTTGGCAGGTACTTCCTTCCATGAAGTACAAACCCTGTTGCTCTTTCTCACGGATCAAGTATTAATAAAATCCTGTGGCCTCCGAGCATCTTTCCGTATGTTATCAGGGCTGCAGTTTGCCTGTCTCTCTTGTCTTCTCTCCCCCAGGCCAAAAATCTCTCCAGGACTCCCCAGCTTTGCTCCAGGACAAGACTCAGAGTCATTGCGAATCCCGGGTCCTCAGGAAGTGAAGGGAAGGCCTGGAGCCAGTGATGTTGGCCGGGCGGTGATCAGGGTACCAAGCGGGGTGTCTGGTCCCATCCCGCAGCCTCACCCCCTCCAATCTCTGCTCCTCAATGCAGGGAAATAGCCAACAACCACCGTGAGCTGCGTCGCCTGGGCATCACGCACGTCCTCAATGCCTCTCACAGCCGGTGGCGAGGGACGCCCGAAGCCTACGAGGGGCTGGGCATCCGCTACCTGGGTGTCGAGGCCCACGACTCGCCGGCCTTCGACATGAGCGTCCACTTCCAGGCGGCCGCCGACTTCATCCACCGGGCGCTGAGCCAGCCAGGAGGTAGGAAGGGAGGGGAGCGAGGCCTGGGGTGGCCCCACGGACCCTGAGTTAGAGCAGAGCCCGGGGCTCCGGGTGTGGAGAGAGAGAGACTTGAATGATGTGATAAGATGCTCAGTAAAGAAAACTCTTCTCTCAACCATCTTTTCAATGCAATCCATAAAAAGAAGGAAATAATCCCAAATGTCGGGAGAGTGGCAAATTGCCCCTGGGCGGGAAGATTATGGGAGATATATATTTTTTTAATTGTTGCCTTCTTTACATATTTCTAGACTTTCTAGCGATTCTTGCTTTGCCTGTCTTGCTTTAGTGATCAGAATATATATATATATATATATGTATATATACATATATATATACATTTAAGATATAAAAATATTTTATTTTTTAAAGTAAAAAGTATTTTATTTAAAAAGTATAAGATGTATTGGGACAGTGGCTAAAACTTTACTCTTCCAATGCAGGGGTGTGGGTTCAATCCTCGGCTGGAGAACTAAGATTCCCACATGCTGTTCATTGCACAGAAAAAAAAAAAAAGATTTTTTAAAATGGGAAAAAAATATATACTGATCACCCACACACACACCACCACCCCCCCAGAATGGATGGGAGACTGAGGAAGGGCCAGGTTAGACACAAAGGATTTTCCATGGATACACTCAGCGAGTATCAAGCGGAAACTCTACTTGGTACAAAGCTGGGTTTTGCATTAATCTTGAGTGTCTCCCTTCAAGCTCTTATTTTTTAAGCTCTATGTTAGTTATGTTTTAAATATTTATTTGTTTATTTATTTGGCTGTTCTGGGTCTTAACTGTGGCATGAGGGATCTAGTTCCCTGACCAGGTCTTGGACTGGGGCCCCCTGCATTGGGAGCTTGGAGTCTTAGCCGCTGGACCACCAGGCAAGTCCCTCTTCGAGCCCATTTTGGGCTTATGGATGCTGAACTGCTCCAGGTTTTCCGTGTCTTCCCGTCTGTGTGCCCCCGTTTGCCGGGATTCTTACCGTCCCCCCATCTGTGCCTCCGAGCATCTCTGCTTACCTGTCTTCCTCCTCACCTGCCCCCAGCCTCCTCCAGCCCAGCGCACGGTCCCCCAGCTGCCTCTCTCCGTCTGTCTGTGTTCACAGGGAGGATCCTGGTGCACTGCGCCGTGGGCGTGAGCCGCTCGGCCACCCTGGTGCTGGCCTACCTCATGCTGTACCACCGCCTCACCCTCGTGGAGGCCATCAAGAAAGTCAAGGACCACCGAGGCATCATCCCCAACCGGGGCTTCTTGAGGCAGCTCCTGGCCTTGGACCGCAGGCTGCGGCAGGGGCTGGGGGCATGAGGGGTGGGGTAGGGAGGTCAGGCCAGGCCTGTGGGTCCCTGGATCCCAGCTGGACAGCGGAGGCCCAGGGGGCATGTGGGGGGGAGACGGAGTGAACCCTTACTCTCCTTAGAGGGCTGGGACATGGCCCCAGGCCACAGCTGCTATCTGTTGCGAGGGGATGGGGAGGGGTGAGCTGGGCAGGGTGACAGTCACCTAGGAGGGAGCTGGCCTGGGAGGGAGGCAGCTGGGGTCCTGGATTCCAGGCAGGGTGGTCCCAGAGATTCAAGGCCCCTTCTCTTCTTTGTGCTCAAGTGTTCCCCTCCCTCTCTGATAAGGACCCGCTCTGCCCTGTGCCCCTGCGGGGAGAGTCGGGGAGGCGGCAGGCACGGCTGTGATGATGTCGAGTTGTGTGGGGCCAGGAGCAGAGAGACAGACGGTGATGAGATGGTGCGAAAAGCTAAGAGAGAAGCCTGCAGACTTGTTACTCCAAACACGGCAGGAAGAGGTGTGGGAGGCTTGGCGCGGAGCCTGCGGGTGCTGGTCGTGGCCCAGAAATGGCAGAGGTGCATGACTTCGAGTCTATCGCTGATCGCTCGCTTACTGGATCCAAGCGTCTCCAGGAAAAATAAAAATGGTGAAAACGACGCGAGCCTCTTGAATCACTGACAGCTTGCCTGAGTCTGCAGCTCTCTTCCCGAGGGCCGTCCCTGGCTCCCCTCTAAGGGTCCTGAGCCCGCACCAGCCCTTATGCCTCCAATGATTCTTAAGGGGGATCATCCCTGGCGGCTCGGACAGTCAAGAATCTGCCTGCGATGCAGGAGACCAGGGGTCTTGGGTCTCCTGGGTCGGGAAGATCCCCTGGAGAAGGACATGGCAACCCACTCCAGTCTTCTTGCCTGGAGAATTCTATGGACCGAGGAGCCTGGCGGGCTACGGTCCATGGGGTCACAAAGACTCGGGCACGACTGAGCGACTAACGTTTCCAGTTTTTAAGGGAGTTTTCTGCCAAGTCCGATTCCAATGCCCGCTGTAAGGATATCTTGTTATTTCCATTTATGTCCACGCGGGGGCAGCAGAGAACCAAAAGTCAGAGTTGCAACCTGGGGTGGGACTCCGCACACTGGTGTCTTCGAAGCTTAAAGTAGGTCTCTGTTCACAAACTCCGGTGTGTAAGAAATACTGGGATGGTCAAAAATGCACTCAGAGCTTTCCAGTCCCGAACGAGCTTTTTGGCAAACGCAATATAACTTATTTTCAAAAAGGCAGATTGCTTTCTATATCAAGTCCCCCATTCTCGTGGAGGAGCAGAATATTAACCTTAAATCAATCCCAGCCCTAAATCATGAGCTGGGTTTTTGCCTCATGCCAAGAAATTGGAGACGAGGGATGGAGAGGTGATGTGATTGCTTCCTCTTCTAACCTTTCTAGGTTTTCCTTGGAAGAGGGTAACATAATCCCCCTAGTAAATCTGGTCCAAAAACAGAGTCAACCACCAGAGTGAATAGTATGGTCTTTTTTAGTATTCCAACTGCCAAACTGCCAGCCACCACATCCTTCTCTTTTTTTTTTTTTTTTTCACCACACCCTTCTTTTTAAAAGGGTGTGTTTCCCAGAAATTCCCTGGCAGTCCAGTGGTTAGGACTCTGCACTTTCACTGACAGAAGGTGCAGGTTCAATCCCCGGTCAAAAAACTAAGATTCCAGTGGCCAAAAAAAAAAACCCCAAAAAACAGGCAGTGTGTTCCCAGAACATCTGCATGAGTGGAATAAAAGGATGGGATATAAAAGGAAGTGAAAATACAGAAGAAAAATCACTTAATATAACTAAAACATAGATTCTACCCCAAAGTACAGAAACTCAGAATCTCAAAGCTCAAAGATGCCTTCACAGATGAACGATTTCCACTTTCCACAGGCATAAATAAATTGCCTTTACAATAAGTCACTTGATGATAGTTATCAAGCATTCATTTGCTTGGCCATTTTTTTTTCTTTTTAACTGAAGCAAAGAGAGATTATTTTTATTTATTTATTGACCACACTGCAAGGCAGATGGGATTTTAGTTCCCTGACCAGGGATCGAACCCATGCCCCCTGCCTTGGAGTCTTAACCACTGGCTGACCCAGGAAGTCCCTTGCTTGGCCACTTTTGATGGTTGGGAATCATTACATATTACTAGCTCTTAGTGTTAGAAAGCTCTCGTTTAACACTTGCATCCCATAATCACATTACAGTGGTGGGAAGATGGAGCCAAAAGATCTGACAGCTAGGACCCTTGGCCCCAGCACACAGCCATATGGGTGTTGGTGACATTAATTTACCTCTCTCCCCTGGCTCCTCTGTCCATGGGATTTCCCAGGTGAGAATAATGGAGTGGGTTGCCATTTCCAGGGGATCTTCCTGACAGATGGATCCAACCCAGGTTTCTTATGCCTCCTGAATTGGCAGGCAGATTCTTTACCACTAACACCAGCTAGGAAGCCATATATATATAAATACGTATATACATATAAATATATATATGTATCTCCCATATATATGTATATATATGCATACATATGTATATATCTCCCATATATATGTGTATATATATGTATGTATGTGTGTATATATGTATAGGTATATATGTGTATATGTATATGCATATGTGTGTATATATATGTATATATATTGCCCATATATATATATGTGTGTGTATTATTATTGTTTAACAAAAGCCATATTGTGGCTCTGGCCCAGGCACTCTTCTGTCTTTGCAGATATTAAGTCATTTAATCCTCATTAAAAACCATGTGAAGTGATTTCCTTGTCAATACTTGGAAACAAGGAAATTGAGGTTAACTAATTTTCCTAAGGCAATGGCAAGCCACTGCAGTACTCTTGCCTGGAAAATCCCATGGATGGAGAAGCCTGGTAGGCTGCAGTCCGTGGGGTTGCTAGGAGTCGAATGACTAAGCGACTTCCCTTTCACTTTCCTGCATCGGAGAAGGAAATGGCAACCCACTCTAGTGTTCTTGCCTGGAGAATCCAATGGATGGAGGATCCTGGTAGGCTGCAGTCCATGGGGTTGCTAGGAGTCGAATGACTAAGCGACTTCCCTTTCACTTTCCTGCATCGGAGAAGGAAATAGCAACCCACTCTAGTGTTCTTGCCTGGAGAATCCCAGGGACAGGGGAGCCTGGTGGGCTGCCGTCTATGGGGTCACACAGAGTCGGACACGACTGAAGTGACTTAGCAGCAGTGGCAATTTTCCTAAGGATAAAGAATTTGCCTGCCAGTGCAGGAAATGCAAGAGACATGGGTTTGATCCCCGGGCAGGGAAAATCCCCTGGAATAAGAAGTGGCAACCCACTCCAGAATTCTTGCCTGGAAAAATCCCGTGGACAGAGGAGCCCCAAGGGCTACAGGCCATGGAGGTCACGAAGAGTCAGAGAGGACTGAGCACATCATGCACACAAATAGTAAGCGGTAGAGCTCAGATTCCACCTGGCAGCTCTGGCTCCAGCATCTATGTGTGTGGCCATCACACTGGTGTGCGTCCCTCCACCTCCACCATTTAAGGGTACATGTGTGTTTTGGGGACCTACAGGGGTCAAGAGACAGAATAGAAGGGCACAGCCCGGTGACCACACAGAATCAGTTCTACCCTCCAGGGGGGCAGAGAGGGTCACCTGTCACAAATGGGTCTCACTCACACCTGCCCAAAGTGAAGTCGCCTACCAGGCTTCTCCATGAGTGGGATTTTCCAGACAAGAGTACCAGAGTCGGTTGCCATTTCCTTCTCCAGGAGATCTTCCCGACCCAGGGATTGAACCCGGGTCTCCCACATTGCAGGCAGATGCTTTACCCTCTGAGCCACCAAGGAGGCCACCACCTGCCCAAACCGGCATTAAAAGTCCAGGCTCCTGGGACTTCCGTGGTAGTCCAGTGGCTAAGACTCCACAGTCCCAATGCAGGGGGCTTGAGTTCAGTCCCTGGTCAGGGAACTAGATCCCACATGCTGCAGCTAAGGCTGCCATGTACTGCAACTTAGACCCAGTGCAGCCAAACAAAAAAATATTAAAATAAAAAAAAATAATAAGTCCAGCCTCCTGCATCCAGTCCTCACACAATGGACCAGTTGGACCCAAGCATAGAACTTGAAAATGAACAGGAATAAAGGTGCTCTTGTTAGACGCAGCCTGTGCCTCTAACTGGCAGAGCCTCAGGTCCCCGGGGAACTGACTCAGGCCCAGCTCATCATCCTCCCAGCCTGCCCCGTCCAGTGTCGACTCAAACCCTCATTGCTGACCCCAGGGCTCTTGGAGACTCTGGGGAGAAGGAGGAATGTTTGCCCAGTCTTTCACCCTGTGACTCAGGGAGCGGGGGTGAAGAGAGAGCTTCTGTTTCTGCACGCCGCGGCAGCAGATGGAGCTGGAAAGCAGATCAGCAGCTGAGAACAGCGCTGGAGAGGATGCGGCAACGCTGCACTGAAGGCCCCCCCCCCCCCAAAACAGATCCCTTAGAAAAAGGAAACTTCGTGCACTGTTTGTGGGAATGTAAATTGGTGCTGCATTGGAAACCAGTTTGGGGGATTTCTCCAAAAAAAATAGAACTACTATATGATCCAGCAATCCTACTCCTGGGTATTTACTGGGGGAAAAAAAAAAGATGAAAATGAAAGCATTAATTCAAAAAGACACATGCATCCCAATGTTCATAGCAGCATTGTTTACAATAGCCAAGATCTAGAGACAACCTAAGTACCCATCAACAGATAAATAGATGAAGAATATGTGGTGTATATACCCAATGGAATATTGTTGCTGTTGTTGTTTAGTCGCTAAGTCACATCCGGCTCTTTTGTGAACCTGTGGACTGTAGACCGCCAGGCTCCTCTATCTGTGGGGTTTCCCAAGAGAGACTACTGGAGTGGCTTGCCATCTCCTTCGCTAGAGGATTTTCCTCACCCAGGGATCAAACCCTAGTCTCCTGCATTGCAGGCAGATTCTTTACTGCTAAGCCACCAGGGAAGCCCA